CAGTAGCAGTAGCAGTAGCAGTAGCAGTAGCAGTAGCAGTAGCAATAGTGTAGCAGTAGTAGTAATAGTAGTAGTAGTAGTAGTAGTAGCAGCAGCAGCAGCAGCAGCAGCAGCAGCAGCAGTAGTAGTTGCTGTTGCTGGTGTTGGCGGTGGTGTTGGGGGTGGCGGTGGTGCTTTTGTGGTTACGGTTGAACGGCCGTTGTAAGAGTACCCATGTGAAAAACATGTCAACACAACCAGTGCATCCCTCGGTCAGAGCACGCACGCCGACACCAGCATCCGGATGATGATGTTAGTTAGTGGTGCTTTCGTCGTCCATTACGTCGACGCTGGATGCTGATGCCTGCTTTTACTTCTTGCTTGATGCACCCGGTTCGTTGTCGGTCCTAGCCGCTCCTAGCTGTGCTTGCGAATTTGCAAACCACAAGGCACTCTGATCATCCATCACGGAAAAGTAGCACATGTTGGGCATGAAATGTTGCAAATACCTGCGAGCACCAGTAAATAGTAATCCAAAAATGTAATCGGCGGGCATCCCTTGCTGTTGTCTAAACAAGCACGCCAGATGCCCCAACACGAGACATTGCTGGTTGTGGCTGTGGTTGTGGTTGCGGTGTTTTGCCTTTCTTTTTTTTTTCTCTTGTTGTTGTTTGTGCGTGCCTGTCTGCCTGCCTGCCTCGCTGGCTGACTGTCTGTGTGTGTATGTGTCTGACTTGTGTGCAGATGCACGTGTTCAGCCAAGGGCGGATCCTTCCGGCTGCAGTGCGAATTTCCGTGGCTTTGGCAGACGCGGGTCTGAAGGCATCGGGCTTTGACCTTACCGCCATGGATGCCCGTGGCCTGGCTTAGCATTGAAGGCACGAAAATGTCGAGTTCAGCGCAAGCATTGAGGGCATTGAGGAGAGCAGTGGATGTAGTAGTGACTTAGTAGTGCTGGGTGACTTGAGGATTTCGCGCACTGTCCGCTGCTCCGATGAAGGCCTGGTTGGCAAAAACAGAGGCTTGCGGCGATGCCAGATCCAGGATTGAGCCTTTTCCAGCTGCCCCGTGCGGCTCTGCTAAGGTCAGCATGGAGGAGTCCTCGCATGCAACCGCCTTGAAGCCGGTGCGCATCGCAGCACGTTGAGAATGTGAACATGTTTTCAGTCGCAGGGGGTATTGCTAGATAGTCGCGATCTCCACGGAGGTGCTGATGACAGACTTCTCGGCACCCGTCTTTGCCTGCTACTAAAGACCTACGTTGAGGGAATGCAGGCAGCACAGGGAGCGTGATAGTCATTTCGGAGATTTCGAGGAGTGGCAGCTTTCAGACGATGCGGAGGATGGCCCAGTGCCGGTCCACCTCCAAGCAACAGCCACTGGCAAGGCATCAGTTGCGATCATCCAAGCCGAGATCATCTTTCCGCAGCTCGGCTCTGAAGCTCAGGATTGAGCGCCCTCTGGAATGGTGCTGTCGCCCCGAGGTCTGGCAGAAGCAGCTCCGTGCGCTTCGCGCAGTGGATGGCGGGCGGTTTGGCTTTACATGCTGGTCAAGTTACCAGGATGCAGCCGGCAATCGTCGGTATTTCAAACTTGAAGGGCTGCAGGGACCCAACTTGGAAGTGCATCTTCCTGAAGTCTCTGATGTCCACTGTCTTCTGAGTAGCCCAAGGATGTGAGTACATGTGAGATGAGGCTATCTCGGGTGTCACGGCTCGGCGGAACGACGGCCGCGTTTGGATTGATTGGGACTACGCTGCATGTCGTATTGTGTGTTTCCTTTGCTGGCAAAGGCATCCCATGACATCACTGTTTCAACTACAGGCTAAGAGTGCAGTGCCACCATTCGGATACATGTCGTTGTCGGAGTGGTACTTCGAGATGCTACGGGACTCTGCCAGGCCAGGGATTACTATTGTCCGCAGAGACTAAGAAACTCTTCTTTGTGCCTCCACACAAAAGCAGGCATGACCTGTATGAACGAGCACTGCAAGTGGAGATTGCGAAGGTCAAGGCGATGAGTTTTCCGGCAAACCTTCACCAGTTGACTTGTCGGTTGCCCGGTTGCCGGCAGGAGAAGAATGCCGATGGTTGCACAGTGTTGGACGTTGGTAGTGGTGACGGTATCCTGGAGCAAGTCTCATGACGCGTCAGATCAATCCTGCTGTCTGGGCATGTTGCATCGGTGCGTCATGCAATGGTACACCGGAGCAGCGACCAAGCAGTAGTGAAGTGCTTAGAACGGTGCGGAGAAGAACGAGGAACAGTGATGGCACAGACAGGGCTCGAAGCCTACGCAAAAGTTCGCTCCTGAGGTATTTTGTCAATGATGGCCATCAGAGCTGGGGCGACTGCGGGAACGGGAGACTCGTCAAGCCTACCGGAAATCGAGGAAAAGCCGCAGGATCCATCATTGCGCACCTAAGGAGTTGAGTACGTCACGCAGATCGCTCGAGCATCGGAGGAGGGATTCCTTTTGGTGCCCTGTGCAGAACGGAGCACTCGTGCTTGAAGCCTGGAGTCCTGGAGGAGGTCATCTTGGCCAACCGGTCCTGTAACGCACTGGGCGCTGGACCGCTGGACGTCTGGTGCACTGATGTGAGGCACACGGCACACACGATTGATTCGCAGCCCTGGAGGGACTGTTACGACGAGGTCGTGTCCCATGGTAGCAGTGTGGTGCCTGCTTGGAAGTGGTTTAACTTACGGAAACCCATGTTGGAAGGGGCGTTCCAGAGCTGCCGGAACAGCGACGCTTCGATGTCTTGGTCAGCGAGCTAATGGATGCCTCTGGGCTCGGTGAGATGCTTGGACGAAGCACAGGTGCCGGAGCGGGTCCAGTCGGTGCCATCGCACAACTCGTGACCACCACTGGTGTTTCTGCTCGTAAGGAACCTGATTCTTCTTACCGAGGTGGGAATCGGCTTGCACATGCGTGAAGTAGAGATGGGAGACTGTGAAAGTGTGGAAGCACGGTCGCGCTGCCAGGGCTCGAAGCGGCGCCTTTGCAAGAAGAACGCCCCGGTCATACCAGCCCGGCTCCGACTGAGAGCGGTGCTTTGTGAGGCGCATGCTTGCGGACGGTTCATTTTAATTTAATTCGAGTGACAGCATCATGCAGCATCCCACTTGCCTCAATCCGGAGGTCAAGCTTCCATCTATCGACGGTATCAACATCGATGCTTTCTGGCCCTTCTGGCCCCCAGATCGGGCATTTGGCAGTGCGCTTTGGCTGGGTGTCGACCTGGACAAGCAAGAAGGAACCTTGTCACACAGAAGTGCAGTTTTCTTTTTCTTGGCTTCTTGTAGGCCTTCTGGCACCAAGAAGCATCAAGGGACAGCTGCCCGCAGGAGACTTCAAGGTGCTCACGGAGCCAGTAGAGCTCTTCGAAGTGGAGCTGGGGCAGGTGGCATCAAAGCGTCCGTCTTGTCGTGAGGGCTTTCACAAACAGCAGCAAATCAAATCTTGCGCGTATCGTTGGCATTCTGTGCAAAGGCCGACGTGAATGATATCCCAGCACGGGCACAGTATAGCTTCCCGGGGATTACCGCTGGCACTTGCAACATGGTCTTATGGCAGGGGGCTGAGATCTGGGCGTTTTGGAAGAAGTGGGTGACGGCACCGCGATTACCACGCACCTGAAACAGAGGTGGTTCGAAGCGCAATTGAGCCAGACCGAGACTTGGCTTTTGGCCTCCAGCACTTGTCGAACAGGTGCTGAGCTGTGGGTCGCACATGGCAATTGTCGCTCCTGGCCTGCGTGGCTTCGTTCGTGAGGAAACGAGGGACAGCTCCGGGCGGAAGACTCAAGCAGAAATGCTAGCACATCCTGAGGATCCCTCCGTGGTGCTGACGAATGCACCAACTCAGCTGGATGGCCGACATGCCGCAACCTGTTGGGGGCAGGCAGTGCCCAATTTTTGGGCTGTGCGAGCCGAACGATGCCCTCGTTTCGACTTCAGGCAGCGGCGGAGCTGGTGGGAACGGCGCAGGCAGTGGGCAGGGCTGGGATGGCTGGGATGGCTATGCAGACACGCAGATCTGGCGGCAAGAGAGCGGCCAGGCCCGGCCCGGCGAAAACACGAGCGTAGTGATGGAGATGGTCTTCGGCCCTGTCCTGAGACGGCCTCGCTGGCACACTCTTTGCGCACCTCTCAGACTCTGAGGCGACTATCAACTTCGCTTCAGAAGTGCCGACTGTGGGGAATCCTCAGGCATAGCATGGCAGAGCCGCATAGCTAGGGAAGGTCTTAGTTGAGTTCCTAGTAATTATGCTATCCCATTTATGGAACCGGGAGAGGCAACATGAGTCAAAGCAGATGTGTGACAGGCGTGCTTCGTGATGCACCACCTCCTGGGGCGCCACCCTATTCCGCTGAGTTCACGGAGATGATGCAGGCCTTAGACTGGCGCACACTCTTTGCGCACCTTCGACGCGCTCGCGCGATCTTTCCCTGCAAGGCCTGGCGGGAGAAGCAGCGGGAGCTTGCCGTCTCGGGACGCCAAGTTGGTCGGACCGCAATCCGAGACGCAGATGTCGAGGCCGACAGCTAGGGAGTTGACCAACTGTGATCAGACTTAAGAACACCAAAGACTCGCAGAATAGCAGTATGCTGATGACAAGCTGCCACGAAACTGTGAAACCCCAACACCCGAATCCCTGAACCCTCGGAGGTCCCCAAAATTATGAATGCTTGGACCACCTCAAATTTTCGAAGCCGGAGCCCGGACCCAAAAAGTTCTGTAGCTCTAGCAACCGAGCAACCTCATGATCCTCATGTCAGAGTTGGGTCAGTGGACAGGCCGTGGCAGCGCTGCAGAAGGCAGCTTTGGCTGTCGCCCTGCATCCTCAAGGCTCAACTACTCTTGTTGTTACTCTGTTATTGCTTTACCACTGTTTCTGAAATTCTAGATTCCAGTGAATGTTGCGATCTATTTCTTGTCAGGCCTCAGCTGTGATCCTCGCATTTTTTAGGCAAGCGCGAGCCGGCACCTGCTTCCATGCAAAGCTAAATCTTCGAGCCTACAGCCCCCGGGCTTCAATCCTGCATAAGATACGGTAACCATGCGCAAACCGTGTAGAAGCTCTACAGCAACCTGCCACACCCCCGAAAGAAATCGGCAACACTCTACGCAAGCCCTAAGCAAAAAAATCTGTATCAAGAATCACCAACTTGCCTCAGCCCTGCATGAAGCCCGACATGAACCCTTCCCTTCCCTGCGCCACGTTTTGAGCGGAGGATTCGGTGTGGAGCCGGCCTCTGCAGCCAAGATTCTGTCGGGCTGGTATGCTGCGCCTTGAATGTGAGACGAGGGTTTCGGGTAACTATGGTGCGGCGCGTCCGGTGAGGATGTATAGGGTGAATGAGTTCAGGGTTTGGGGCAAACTGCGGGCGAAGCAGATCGGGTTTTGGACCTGGAAGTGTAATGTCATGCAGGATAGAGGAAAATGGTTTGCGGCCTGGTTTTGGGGCACGACCACCGGAGAGGTAGAAATTCGATGCTGAGAACGATGGTAGGGTAAACGAATCAGGAAGCAAGGTCATCGAACAATCGAACGTGATTGTTGCACCAGCTAATAAAGAACATGCGACATCATGCGACGTAAACTACTTTGTAGATGTCTTTTGCAGTCTCTTTTCATGTCAGCATACAGCATGTATCAGTATGGCGAAAGTACAGTGTATAGCAGCGGGCAGAAGAAAACCAAACAACGTGGGATGAACTCACTACGACGGCATGTGCATGAAGCTGCAATTTACGACAGCGGTCTGCCAGAGCCTCCGTGTGGCGTAACACAATCAGATGCGTGAAGCATCGTGAAGCAATACGATCTCACAACGGAGTATTATGTTGCAGCACTGCGGCAGAATGTAAAACATGCCATACTGGATGATTCTGGTCAGTGGCGTACCAAGAAAGGAACACTGTTAATGCAATGGCGCTGGTATGTAGAATTAATGATTGCATGTGAAGCTAAGCCGGCTTTTCGATCCAGCGTTTTGAGCAGTCAGGAAACGTTTGCTTCAGCATTGAGGCATGAGGTGAGGGGAGACATTCAGCGGGGTTCCTGGCAATCCGAGGTTGGTGGAGAAGGACGCACTTGAGTCCTTCATTGCCGGTGACGTCCGGGCTTCCTCGCTCTGATCTTCAGACGACGGCCTGTTACTCGCGGCTGCGCAGACTCGTTGCCGAGCAGACCAAGATATCGAAGGTAAGACACCCGCCTTCTGCGCAGAAGGCCTGGAAGGACTCAGGATCTCCCTCGTGATGACAAGGAGTCGAAGGAGGCAAGCAGACGAGATGCCTTCGGGCTTCATCGGGCAGTGACGAGCTTCGCCAATTCAGAGATGCTGCTGGCCGATGGCCACCCACCACCGCACCGGAAAAGAGCATGGCCTTGTCACTGTGAAGAAATACTCTCTTCACAGTGGCAATCTTGGCAGTGGAGACTCCTCGCTTCGTTTGCATCGCTTTCAGGAGCTGGAGGCTGCCACTACTGCAGCGATGCAGAACAGCTGCAGTCAGATGGCAATCTGGAATGTGACGCTCGCAGATCTCCATGTCTCACGCTCAGGCAGCCAAGGGTATGGGCCATAGCCGTAGCCTTTCATGAAGACGATCTACAAGGCAGGTCTATCATGGTGCTGAATCACTCATGAACCGGTGGGAGCAACTCAGTTCAACCTTTGTGGGACTTCAGGGGACTCTGCTGTTCCTCAGGGTCAGCGGCTGAGCTTGCGGAGCCAATCCCGCACCAAGTTCGCTGGCATAAGAGATCTGATGTGGCATTAGCTCGAGATCGCTGGCATGAGTGCTTCCCTTTTGAAACTTAGCAAGGGAATCAAAGAGTTGGTTTCCAGAACGGTTGTGAAAGGTTGGCCGGGCATGTGGTGCGATGCTGGGCTCTGCAAAGCACAAGAACCCATAACTGGATGCGAACTTGAATCCTTTCGATGCGGACGGCTGTTTCGCATGTTTCTGCATACTACAATGCCACAAGAGCCGCCAATGCTTCAGCCGCCTCATCAAGAAGCACCGCATGTGCTAATGATTGAGTATGCTGCCAACTACCGACGGGCCCTAGACTCCATGGCGTCAGCTGGATGACTGCCGGCTCCGTCGAGGAGCAGGAGCGCTCGTCAATTCACCTGCTTCTTTGAGCCGAATGCAGCTCTGATCTTTTAAGAAGGTGCTGAGCCTCGATGCCTTCGCATGGTGCGAAGAAGTGAAAACCCCCAAATCAAAGAAGCGGCAAGCGGTCTCAGAAGAGGATGGCTGGGATGGCACTTGCGCAGTGCTTCGACCTTCTAGCACTCGTCGCTAGCGTTCGGGACATTTGACATGTGGCAGGACCCACCAGAGAAGACTGAGGCACAAGCTGCGCGAAAGAAAGCAAAAGCAAGCCACACAGGCGAAGGCGGCGCGCTACGTCGCTACGTGTGCTTGCATGGTTGCCAACGGTGCTGCTCTTTACTTTGTGGTCACTTGCCAGGGGCCCTCAAGCCGAAGTATCGCCAAGCTAAGGCAGCGCATCGGATAGTCAGATAAACTTCACCGCTTTGGCGTCAGTTTTTCTGGCAAAGCCGAGAGGAGGAGGACGCTGTCGTTGAAGTGCTTTGCTTCAGCTGCCGCCGGGCGAGCGACGCCTCGGTCCAGCTGAGCGTCACCAACTTCTTCAAGAAGGCTCAGTGTAGCACTGAACAAGAATGACAAGCAGAGAGTGTCTTGTCTTGTCATGCTGCGCAGAGGGAGGGAGCTGAAAGCCAGATGGTGCGCCGAAGTTGAGTTTCGACGATTTTCTGTTCGATGGCGTCGCGAGATCTTGTGATGAAAGGCGGCTGATGCAGTGCCTGTACCAACACCAGAGGCGGCCCGGAGCTGCAATTCCCATCCAGTGCTTTGTCTCTCATTTTTTTTTTTCTCTCTCTCTCTCTCTCTCCCAAGGTATTGAATATTTTGCACTTCCGGCTCTTCCCTACAGTCCTACAGCTTTTGTTGACTCGGCGACTAGTCTCGGCAGCTCGTTGTGCTGCATACCATGGCAGAGGTGATCGTGATCGACCTTGATGCGCCGCCATCTGTAGATCCTTCTGTCTGCTCGCGCTGCCGCAAACCATTGCGGCATAAGCATCTTGGCAGAATATTTCAATGAGCCTGCAATTATGCGTATCACAGTGGTGGTGCTTGGACAGGCTCCCGACATACAAAAAGTCTGCGGACGCCATGAAGGGCATCGGCGAGCTTCCGCAACTTCAACGGCTCCGTGCATATCGGCGAACAGCCGAAAAGCTGGGAACACAGAATGTTGTGACTTTGCTTTTTGTGACTTCTTGCAAGTATGTTCCTGCAAGTCCGGCGAGCCATGAAAGCCTCTGATCGCTGTTCCCTCAGTTTCTGCCTCGTTTTTTATGCTGTTCTGTCCGAGGCAGGGGGTGCCCTTCCTGATCTCGGAGAAAAGCGCGTGCGCCTTGATGCGAGGCAGGTTGTGCAGGGGCTTAAATGCTGGGGGTGCGTTGCAATTTCTCTTCGTTATCACCTATGTAAAGCTCAAAAACGTTGGTTTTTGTTCTCGACGGCCCCTGGAGGCCCGTGCTTCGGATGCGGGGTGCCGGCGCCGCAGCGCGGCCATGGCCTGACGCGGCTGCGCTTCTGGCCTGCAGGAGGGTCTGGAGTCTGGAGATCGGTGGAGGGCAATGTAAGCCTAAGCTTAGCTTTGCTTTTTTCAGGGTGAGTTGACTCAGCACCCAATTTCCTCAGAAGCCCAGAATCAGTAGGAATGAGAAGACAGCGGACAACAACTACGATGCAGTCAAGCCTCGATCAGTTCGAGTGCTGCTTCGACCGACAGCTACAACCGAAACAAGCAACAGTCAGAATAGAAGGTGGTAGCCCCGATTACAACAAACTTCAACTGCAACAACCTCAGCCTGCACACAGCAGCAGCAGCAGCAACAGCTCCACTACCACCACCAGCAGCAACAAAAACAACGACAGCAGCAGCAACAGCAACAGCCACAACAAAAACAACGCTTCCTGCTGTGGCTGCTACTTGTTCTACTGCGCGTGCGCACCAGCAACAGCACTAGCGCTAGCACTAGCACCAGCAACACCAGCTCCAGCTCCAGCGCCACCATCAGCACCACCACCAGCACGAGCGCGAGCACGAGCACGAGCGCGAGCACGAGCACGAGCACGAGCACGAGTACTAGCACCAGTAGTAGTAGTAGTAGTAGTAGTAGTAGTAGTAGTAGCACTAGCACTAGCACTAGCACTAGCACGAGCACTAGCACCAGTACCAGTACCAGTACTAGTACTCGTACTAGCACTAGCACTAGTACTGGTA